CTGAAGGGAACAATCAGATGCAAAAGCTCTTGGGGGATTATTCAAAATTCTAGTGTCACTTTCTGAGTCCCCGCCCCTTCGCGGGCTGGGTCCCAGGCCTGTGCTCTGCAGAGCCCGCTGCTTGCTGGCAGCCACAGTTCCATTGGCATCATCACTGCCTTCACCTGCATAGTCACTCTCTTGATGCCCCCCAGATGCTGGGGAAGGAAAATGGTGATCATATATAGACTTTATAGCCACAGAACGGGAATGTTAATATTTGATAAACCTCGACAATACATTCATACAAGTATAAAATTCATACATTGCAAAAGGGTGCGTATCTCTCTCCCTGAGCCCCCGTGTCCCCTCCATAAAAACCACCATGGTGCCGCTCTCATGTGTGCCTGTGGTTATGGGTTATGCCCCTGCAAGCATGTGTCTGCACTTCCTGCTTGCCTTCACATTAACCTGCTTTTTTCACTTAATAACTCAGCTTGGAGAGATTTCTGTATCACATCATAAATCCCACTTGCTCTTTTCTATGGCCGCATAACTACTGCGTAGCATGGATATGCCTTATTTGATTTAACTAGTTCCCTAACGATGGACTTTTAAGTAGTTTCCTTTTTTTTTTAATTGCTACTGCAAACAGTGCTATAATAAATGTCCTTACCAAAATGTCTAGTGTACATGTGTGGATATGTGTATATATGATAAATGTGTAACTTGTAACCATGACATGCCAGTGAAAGAATATGTGCACTTCACGTATTGCTAAATAATGCCAAGTGGCCTTCCAAACCAAACCCTATTTTTCTAGTTATTTTAACCTGCAGCTTCAGAAATATGCACAGAAAATTGTGACTCTTTGGTCAGTCCTTTTAGACATCTGTATATTTATTTATTTATTATAATTATTATTTTTGAGACCGAGTCTCACCCTGTCACCCAGGCTGGAGTGCAACGCTGCAATCTTGGCTCACCACAAATTCTGCCTCCCGGGTTCAAGCAATTCTCTGCCTCAGCCTCCTGAGTAGCTGGGGTTACAGGTGAGCACCACCACGCCCAGCTCATTTTTGTGCTTTTAGTAGAGGTGGGGTTTCAGCATGTTGGCCAGGCTAGTCTTGAACTCCTGATCTCATGATCCACCCACCTTGGCTTCCCGAAGTGCTGGGATTACAGGCATGAGCCACCGCAGCCGGCCTGAGGTCCATATATTTATATTCGTCTTCTACAGGCCTCACTCAGACGCATAAGCACCCACTCTGCTGGCTCTCAGTCTGCTGCACCCTGGAAGCCCCGCTCCTGGAACTGACTCTGGGGCCCTGGCAGATCTTTGGTGTAATGAGACATGGGCCTTGATCTGCAGTTTTGGAGTCTGAGGATGGCAAGAATGGGGACGGGAGGGAGGCTGGTAGACACACACATGAAGACACGGCCAGACCCCTGAGCCAGCCATGGGCCCTCCCCACCCTACTTCCATGACATAAACTACACCCAGCAGTTCCCTGGGGGTGTGGAAGGTGGAGTTGGCAAGAGGCATTCTGAGAAGCTGATTTAACAGGGCTGAGAAGACAGAGCCCAGCACAGCCCTGGCAGGGCTCCCATGGACAGATGCTGGAGAAGTGACCTTGGGCCTGGATGGGCAGAAAGAAACGCGTGCCTGTCCCAGGCCTCACCCACCCGCTTGCATTCTTCCTGGGGCTCCGGAAACCACATTCCTAGTTATCTGCTCCTCGCCAGCTCCATGGCTCCTCCTGCTAGGCTGTGTTCCAGAAGGCAGGAAAGCTGCCTCCTCAGCTGCATGAGGGCTGTGGCCACCAACAGGCCTGCTGGCCAGCCCAGCTCCCTCACTCAGCCCTGGACCTGGGCGTGAGGCTTCAGGCCGCATATGGAATAGGACAGCCCAGGAAGCAAACAGTGTAAGTTGTAAGTTTCTTTTTACTCTTAGAAACCTCTTGAATAGGCAGCAAGGTACACTGAAGCTGCTTCTCTGTATTTTGGAAACGTTTGGGCCGGTAGCAAGGGCAAAGTGGGTCCTCTAAATGGCAGACATTCGCTTTCTTGGCTCTAGACTCAATGGGGGACTTTCCTCTGTTCTGGGAGGCATCACTTTGGCAAAGCCCCCCAACACTCAGTATCTTCAGTAGCTCAGGACCTACCAAAGACCTTCACTTCACATTGAGTTGCCCAGGGTCCTTCAGAGAAATACCCAATGCCTTCCATTCCACCTTACAAAACCCACTTCTTTTTTTTTTTTTTGGATGGGGGTTTCCCTTTGTCGCCAGGCTGGGGTGGAGGGGGACTTACTCGGTTCACTGCAACCTCCGGTTTCCTGGTTCAAGTGATTCTCTTGCCTCATCCTCCTGAGTAGCTGGGATTACAGCCACGTGCCACCATGCCCAGCTAACTTTTTTTTTTTTTTTTTTTAAGTAGAGATGGGGTTTCACCATGTTGGCCAGAATGGTCTCAATCTCCTGACCTTGTATCTCACTATGTTGCCCAGGCTGGTCTTGAACTCCTGATCTCAAGCTATCCTCCCGCTTCAGCCTCCCAAAGTGCTGAGATTCCAGGTGGAAGCCACCATGCTCAGCCTTGAGTTTCTCTCTAAATGAATTGTATACATAGGTTGGAGTGCAGTGGCACCATCTAAGCTCACTGCAGCCTCCACCTCCTAGGCTCAAGCCAGAGTATCTTCCTACCTCCACTTCCCATGTAGCTGGGACTATAGGCCCACGCCACCATGCCTGCCCAATTTTCGTATTTTTTGTAGAAATGGCTTTGCCCTGTTGCCCAGGCTGGTCTCAAACTCCTGGGCTGAAGGGATCTGCCTGCCCTGGCCTCCCAGAATGCTAGGTTTACAGACCTGAACCACCTTGCCTCGCCCAGAATTGTACGTCTTTTTTTTGTTTGTTTGTTTGAGATGGCGTCTCACCCTGTTGCCAGGCTGGAGTACAGTGGTGTGAGCTTGGCTCACACAACCTCCACCTCCTGGGTTCAAGCGATTCTCCTGCCTCAGCCTCCTGAGTAGCTGGGGCTACAGGTATGCATCACCACACCCAGCTAATTTTTGTATTTTTAGTAGAGGGGGGGTTTCACCATGTTGGCCAGGCTGGTCTCGATCTCCTGACCTTGTGATCCACCCTCTTTGGCTTCCCAAAGTGCTGGTATTACAGGCCTGAGCCACCGTGCACAGCCCAGAATTTTACCTCTTAAACACGATGTTTCATCAATCAACATCACCTTTTGCTACATTTTACACACATGAAGAATCAAGTTCAGTTTTCCGCTTCTTCACATTTTCAGGGTCTAATATGATTCTTTCTGGTGATGGCTGCAGCAGGCTGCTCTGTGTTGTTCTTGCTCAGGACGGCGACTGATTTAGAATGTTTGGGACCAATGGTGACATTCCACAGCATGTCACAGAACACCACGGTGTCATCTGCTCTTTCCAACTGCTTGAGCTTTTAGTTTCTCCTTAATTGAATTATCTATCAGAGGAAATGGCACAGCTCCTGGCATCGGACAGACAGACGCTTGGTACCTTAATGATGGTCCTTTGTGATACACGATCAGTTGGCCAGCCTCTCCTCTACGAAGGCTTGAAGGTGTGGTTGTGGAGATTGTGGGGGACTTTCCTGTATCTACGCTGTCCCACATGGGTATTGCAAACCAATCAGGTTAGCTCCATTCCACTTGACAGTGATTAGTTCAGGGGGACACAGGCCTAAACTGTGTGGTACATGGAACGGGAAGAAAATCAGCTTGCAGGGCTCTTGACCAAGACACACCACATACTGCTGTCTTCTTCCTCAGGACGTTTTATGTCTGAAGATGATGGCAAAAAAAAAAAATAATAATAATTAAAAAGACCTGCTCCTTAGTAATTTTGCCACTGATTCAACCTGCCCGGTAGCCCTCATCCCTCTGGGTTTCACTCTTCCCGGAGATAACAAATGACCTTATCGTTCAAGCCACTTCAAGTTGTGGTTTCTGTTACTGGAGGCCCAGGGTTTCCCAATATAGAGCTATCTGAAGAGCCTGGCAATTTCTATAGTTGTTAATTATGTTGTTTGACGATGACAAGTAATCTTCAATATACATAATACAATTTCCCTGGAAACCACACTAAAGTTTACTTTTTCTAATGGCATTTTAAGGGACAAATATGTTTTCAGATTTTGATTAAAATTCACCTATTCGTTGAGTGCGGTGGCTCACACCTGTAATCCCAGCATTTTGGGAGGCCCAGGCCAGCGGATCACCTAAGTTCAGGAGTTAGAGACCAGCCCGACCAACATGGAGAAACCCCGTCTCTACTAAAACTACAAAATTAGCCAGGCGTGGTGGCGCATGCCTGTAATCCCAGCTACTGAAGAATCGCTTGAACCCGGGAGGCTGAGGCTGCGGTGAGCCGAGATCGCGCCATTGCACTCCAGCCCCCGCAACAAGAGGGAAACTGCGTCTTAAAAAAAAAAAAAAAAATCATTCATTCATTCGCGGCACTTCTAGTGCAAACAATGCATCAAGCCTCAGAGGTGAGGACACCAACCATCTCCTTGAGGCTGGCATGGGCACCCCAGATCACCTCTCCTGCTCCACTGCCCCGAGTTTCCCTTGACAAAGTGTGTAAGATGGAGCTCAATTTTAGACACGCTACAGTGTGAGAAAGTGAGAGTCAGAGCTGAGAAAACTTTCTGAAAGCGGGGAGAGGAACGTTTCTGCCAGCTTCGTGTGTGGCGCGCAGGGGGCGTGTTTTGGGGCTGGGAAGGGAAAACGGAGACGGTGAGGAAGGTGACTCGGGCCGAGGACAGGGTGGTCTGAGCCCGGTTTGGAGGCAAATTCTAGAAAATAAGGCGATGCCGTCGTGAGGACGCCGCGCGCTCTGCAGGCCCGGTCCCTTCACAGGGCCCCGCCGCGCTGTCTGCGGACCGACTCCGCCGCGCCGCCCGGCTGGCGCCTGCGGCCCCCAGCGCCCCCCAGCGCCCGGGCGGGCGGAGTTGCGGGTGAGGCGGCTTCTGGGGGCGGGGGTCCCATGACGGCATCGGAGCGCGCCGCGCTGGGGCTGGAGCCGGCCTGCGCGGCCCGGGAGCCGCTCGCTCGCGGTTAGGCAGGTGGGTGTGGGCGCGGGGGCGGGTGGCGAGCGAGGACCCGGGTGTGTGCGGGCGCGCGCTCCCTCCCCGCGGAGGCCCGGCCCGAGGAGCCCGCAGCCTTGCTCCCAGCCTCCCCCGGCGCTTCCTCTGACGGGCCGGCGCCCTCTTCCCGGCAGGGGGGCCGAGGCGGGCATTCCCGGCCTGCGAGGAGGGACGAGCGCCGGGGCTGCGAGGTTGTAGTCACTTCTTCCAACTTTCCGGGAGCTCCGTCCCGCGCCCGCCGCCTCCAGCCCCGGCTCTGCCCGGGCCCGGGATCGCGCCTGCGGGGTTGTCCGGGGTCTTCGGGGCGGGAGCCGGGTGGAGGGCTGGGGCGCGGAAGTCAGGACCGCACAGGGCTCGGGACGCTCGGGCGAGGCCGGGGCGCACAGAGGCCCCCGCCGGGGCGCCAGGCCGTTTATTGCGATGCGCTCAGCGTCGGGCGCCCAGAAGGGGCTGGTGACTGAATTAAACGAAAGGTTCCTGTGTTGAGAGAGACTACCAGGTAAAGAGTGAAGTGCCGGTGGCGGTGGGAGGAGGGAGGACGGGGAAAGTGCCTTAGAGGAAGATTATCCCTCACTTTTTTTTTTTTTTTTTTTTTTGAGACGGAGACTCATTCTGTTGCTCAGGCTGGAGTGCAGTGGCGCGGTCTTGGCTCACTGCAACCTCCGCCTCCCGGGTTCAAGCGATTCTCCTAGGTCAGCCTCCTGAGTAGCTGGGACTACAGGCGTGTGCCATCACGCCCGGCTAATTTTTGTATTTTTAATAGAGAGGGGGTTTCACCATGTTGGCCAGGTTAGTCTTGAACTCCTGACCTCGTGATCTGCTCGCCTCGGCCTCCCAAAGTGCTGGGATTTCAGGCGTGAGCCACCGTGCCAGGCTATCCATCACTATTTATTGGGCAGCGTGGGACCTTGTGCTGGGCGCTGGTGACAAAGTGCAAAGTGAACCCAGAGGGTCTCTGCCTTCCAGCTCCTGGTCTGGGAGGTGGGGGAGAGGCGCGTAGTGACTGCAGTTGCACTAGAGTGGTCTCCGGCCGGTGGGGCAGCACTGGGGGTTGTGTGCCTGTGGTGGTGGGGTCACAGAGCAGGAGGGCTTCCCTGGTTCCCTGAGGAGGGTGGCTGCAGCCTGAGCCGCGACGGATGAGGCCTGGAAAACACCCAACCTTTGCAGGCAGAGAGAGGGTTAGGGTTAGGGTTAGGGTGGCGGGGGAAAGGCCTGGGTGTGGGAGGTGCCGGGAGATGAGTAGTCTCGGGCGGCAGGGCCTGATTTTTGCGTTTGCATGTTGAGAGATGCCCCTGGAGTGCAGTGGCCGATGCCTGTAATCACCAAACTTTGGGAGGATCCCTTGAGCCCAGGAGTTCAAGACCAGCCTGGGCAACCTAGCTAGACTGTCTCTACAAAATAATAATAATAATAATAATAATAAATTAGCCAGGTACGTGTCTGTGGTCCCAGCTACTCTGAAGGCTGAGGTGGGAGGATCACTTGAACCTGGGAGGTTGAGGCTGCAATGAGCAGTGATCACGCCACTGCACTGCAGCCTGGGTAACAGAGAGACCCTGTTTCAAGAAGAAAAGGATGCCCCTGGCTGCCCTGTGGGAGGGGACAGGGAGACTGAGACGAGGGGGAAGGCTGGTCAGTCATCCTGGCACGGTGTCCACGGCCAGGACCAGGACTTTGGCTACAGAATGGGAAGCAGCAGGTGAACGTGAGAGATATTTAGGATGGAACTGGCAGGATTTGGTGGTGACAGCTTGGTCTTGAAGGATCTGTTGGCTTTTTTTTTTTTTTTTGAGACGGAGTTTCGCTCTTGTTACCCAGGCTGGAGTGCAATGGTGCGATCTCGGCTCACCGCAACCTCCGCCTCCTGGATTCGGGCAATTCTCCTGCCTCAGCCTCCTGAGTAGCTGGGATTACAGGCACGCGCCACCATGCCCAGCTAATGTTTTGTAGTTTTTTTAGTAGAGACGGGGTTTCACCATGTTGACCAGGATGGTCTCGATCTCTTGACCTCGTGATCCACCCGCCTCGGCCTCCCAAAGTGCTGGGATTACAGGCTTGAGCCACCGTGCCCGGCCTTCTGTTGGCTTTTTTGAAGGTGGGGCAGGGGATATGGGTGATGTGACAAAGATAGAGACTGTGGTGAACCCAGCAGGTGTAAGGGACAAGGGTTCCCTGGTGTGGTGTGGCACTGTACGTGTGTTTTCTAGGAGTCAGGGTCACAGGGAAGAGTGTAGCTGGAACACTGAAGCCCCTAGGTACCAAGCGCAGGAGTTAGGGCCTCATCATCCCAGTGCTGGGAGCCATGACATGTTATTTGGGGTACCGTATGTGTCATGGCCCTGGCAGCTTTTGAGCACCAGGATGGGCATGGGAATGTTCTGAACTTTGACCACCCTTCCCCCATCCCTTCAGGGTCTGGCTCAAGTGCCCTGCAGGGCGAGTCCAGCTCCTGGAGCACACATGCTGATGGCCACAGCTTCTCTCTCTCCACAGGGCCCAGAGCCGTCCTCCCTCAACATGGGGCTGGAAGCCCAGAGGCTGCCAGCGACTGAAGAGGCCCCGGTGCGGGTTGCCCTTCGAGTTCGACCCCTGCTTCCCAAGGAGCTGCTGTACGGGCATCAGAGCTGCCTGCAGGTGGAGCCGAGGCTCGGCCGTGTCACTCTGGGCCGGGACCGACACTTCGGCTTCCACGTGGTGCTGGCCGAGGATGCCGGGCAGGAGGCCGTGTACCAAGCCTGTGTCCAGCCCCTCCTTGAGGCCTTCTTTGAGGGCTTCAATGCCACCGTCTTTGCCTATGGTCAGACGGGCTCTGGGAAGACATACACCATGGGGGAAGCCAGTGTGGGTAAGTGACCCGGCTCGTGGCCCCGTGCGCACTTTCAGGAGCCTTCATTACTTCCTGGATTTCTGTCCCTGTCCTCTTGCTGCCTGACCCTGTGGAAGGGGGGGATGCTGGGAGAGGGACAGTAGAGTCCCGAGACACAGATCTGCCACCCAGGCTGGGACCAGTCACATCTGTGGGCTGGGCAGGGCAGGGTAGGAAGGGAGGGTTGTTGGAGGCGAGTGGCCTTCTCATCTCCATAGAGATGGGGCATGCTGCCTGGCTCTGGGGACCTCAGCAGAGGAAGGGCATGGGAAGGTGGCGTGTCTGTGGAGGTGGCTAGGATGGCTAGGGAAGGTCAGGAATCTGTTCTAGTTGGAGCCATTGGGAATGGGCCCATGTGTCCTGGAAGAGCCGTGCTTGGCTGCTGCGAGGCTGCCAGCCAGGCTCTGGAGCAGTTTCGAGAAAGATCCTTTGGGCTAACTGAAGGAAGGGTCTCCTTTTAAGTAACACAAGCTGCTTTCTCTCAGGTTACTGCCTTGTGCTCCGTGCACTAGAACAGAATACCATAGACTGGGTGGCTTGTTCCCAGAAATGGATTCCTTACAGTTCTGGAGGTTGGGAAGTTTAAAATGCAGGCACCAGCAGATCAAAGGGCCTTCTTCCTCGTAGACAGCCTCCTTTTCTGAACTTACATGGTAGAACACAGAGGGGGTCTCTCTCAGGTCTCTTTTGTAAGGGAACTAATCCCATTCATGAGGGCTCCACCCACACTTCCATCATATTGGGGGTGAGGATTTCAACATGTGAATTTTGGGGAGCATAAACATTCACATAGCAGTTACAGAAACATACTTTGTTGTAAAAAATTAGGAAAATACAGCAAAACATATGCGCGAAATAAAATGTACTTGATAATTGCCCTTCAGAAGTCCCCTGCCCTGTTAGCGTTCTAGTTTCTTTCACTGGGAAAATTATTTTACTTTTCAAAAATGGGATTATATTATACACATTCTTTTGTGTCTTGATTTTCTTAACAATGTATCATTGGCTGGGCACAGTGGCTAATGCCTGTAATCCCAGCACTTTGGGAGGTGGAGGCAGGTAGATCGCCTGAGGTCATGGGTTTGAGACCAGCCTAGCCAGCTTGGCAAAACCGTGTCTCTACTAAAAATACAAAAACTGGCCAGGCATGGTGGTGGGGGTGTGTAATGCCAGCTACTCAGGAGGCTGAGCCAGGAGAATTGCTTGAACCCTGGAGGCAGAGGTTGGAGTGAGCCAAGATTGTGCCACTGCACTCCAGCCTGGGCGACAGAGTGAGACTCATCTCAAAAACACAACAACAATAAAAAATGTATCATGAACATTTCTCTGTATCATTAAATATTCTTCCATCTAACTTTTTAGGCTAGGCACAGAGGCTCACACTTGTAATCCTAGCAGTTTGGGAGGCCGAGGTGGGAGGATCACTTGGGCACAGGAGTTGGGGAACCAGCCTAGGTAACACAGCAAGACCCTGTCTCTAAAAACAAAAACACAACTTTTTAATGGCTGCCTGGCATTCCATAGTGAATGGGAAATAGTTGATTTAGCCAGATCTCCTGTTGGATCTTCAGATGGACCCTTAAGATGTTTGCATTTTTTGAAGTTATGAGGAAGAGTGCTGCTCTGAACTTCCTCTGATTATTTCCTTGGGATAAATTTAGGAGGCTTTTAGATAACTGAGCATGGATTTGGGTAATGAACTCCCTGTCCCAGGGAGCAATCAAGGCAAGGTTATCTGATAATCTGTTGAGGATGCAGTGAAGGGGATGCTTACATCATGAAAGGGGTTGATTGAACCAGGAGAGCTTGCTTCCAACTCTTAAATTTTATAATTCTGCCTGACCACCTGGAGCATGGCCTGGCTCAGGCTGCCTGTCCCATCCTGGCCTCTGCCACTGCCTAGAGCCTCATCCTCTAGCTCTGGCAGGGGCCTATGAGCTTGTGGACCTGGGGGCCTTGGGCCATGTCCAGCTGAAGTGGCAGGAAGTCCCACGGTGTCTCCCCAGCCTCCCTGCTCGAGGATGAGCAGGGCCTTGTCCCGAGGGCCATGGCCGAGGCCTTCAAGCTCATCGATGAGAACGACTTGCTTGACTGTCTAGTGCATGTGTCCTACCTGGAAGTGTACAAGGAGGAGTTCCGAGACCTGCTTGAGGTGGGCACCGCCAGCCGTGACATCCAGCTCCGGGAAGATGAGCGTGGGAATGTTGGTGAGGAACTCCGGGGCCTCCACAGCAGAGAGGGGCTTAGGGAGACATCACATGCTTGGAGTGGGACGCTTACCTGTCTGGGAATGGCGCCTCCTCATGGAAAACCCAAGCCCTGGGAGGTTTCGCTTTAGCTTCCTGTCTCCACTGAGTTCAGTAAATGCTCCTATACCCAGAGCAAGAGGCACTGAGGTGGGCCACTGGGAAGCCGGAACCCCTGAAGCCCGAACTAGGACGGGCAGGATCCCCTGGGTCTGGGGAGGGGGCTGTAGGCCAGGAAGCGCAGGTCGGGAGGTGGTTCTGCACTGCCTGCCCCCCTGGCCGGTCAGTCGGGCGGCCCCTGCCCTGGGGCTCACAGCCTTCTGTGCCCTCAGTGCTGTGTGGGGTGAAGGAGGTTGACGTGGAGGGCCTGGACGAGGTGCTGAGCCTCCTGGAGATGGGCAACGCGGCGCGGCACACGGGGGCGACACACCTCAACCGCCTGTCCAGCCGCTCGCACACTGTCTTCACCGTCACTCTGGAGCAGCGAGGGCGCACCCCCAGTCGCCTGCCCCACCCCGCCGCCGGCCAGCTGCTTGTCTCCAAGTTCCATTTTGTGGACCTGGCGGGCTCGGAGAGGGTGCTCAAGACGGGCAGCACCGGCGAGCGCCTCAAGGAGAGCATCCAGATCAACAGCAGCCTCCTGGCGCTGGGCAATGTCATCAGCGCCCTGGGGGACCCCCAGCGCCGGGGTAGCCACATCCCCTACCGCGACTCCAAGATCACCCGGTGAGCCTCCCCTGTCTCCTGTGTGCCCTGTGGTCCGGGACGCGGGGGTGCCATGCGCCCGTGGGGGTGGTGGCCCAGGCGCCCCAGTGAGCCCCTCCGGGATGTGTTGCGCCGGCCCCTGAGCGCCTCCGCTCGCCCTCAGGATCCTCAAGGACTCCCTGGGCGGGAACGCCAAGACGGTGATGATCGCCTGCGTCAGCCCTTCCTCCTCCGACTTCGACGAGACCCTCAACACCCTCAACTACGCCAGCCGCGCGCAGAACATCCGCAACCGCGCCACCGTCAACTGGCGGCCCGAGGCCGAGCGGCCGTCCGAGGACGCGGCGAGTGGTGCGCGGGGGCCGCCGCGGCATCGCTCCGAGACCCGCATCATCCACCGCGGCCGGCGCGCCCCGGGCCCCGCCGCCTCCGCCTCCGCCTCCGCCTCCTCCGCCGCGGCCGCCCTGCGCCTGGGCGCCGAGTGCGCGCGCTACCGGGCCTGCACCGACGCCGCCTACAGCCTCCTGCGCGAGCTGCACGCCCAGCCCGGGCTGCCAGGTGCTGCGGCCCGCAAGGTGCGCGACTGGCTGTGCGCGGTGGAGGGCGAGCGCAGCAACATGAGCTCCGCCTCCGGGCCCGACAGCGGCATCGACAGCGCCTCGGTCGAGGACCAGGCTGCGCAGAGGGCCGGCGGGCGAAAGGTGAGCAAGGGACAGGTTATGGTTGTGGGCCATGGGGAGGAGTGGGGAGGAGGGAAGAAGGTCTAAACATGGCCGCCGTGCCCCTGCCTCCCGCGCGTCAGCAGGTCAGTTCAGGATTCAGTCACTTCTGCTGATGACCGTGGTCACCACCTGAACCTCACCAGCCCCAGGTCTCTAGCTGTAAAATAGGGATGACCGGAGGTCTCACCCATCTCTTGGTGGGGAGGTTGTAGGGTTGAGGGAAAAACATGCACCTAGCATGCTGGTGAAGACGCAGTGAATTGTTACTAGTAATAGGGGCGATATTATTAATTCAAACACGATAGATAATTACAAGAGATGGCCCAAATGGCTTGCAGAGGGCACCCAGGCCCGCTGGGGTCTGGGGTATGCTCCCCTCCAGTAGGTCTGGAGCTCCCATTGCAGGCAGGGCCTGGAAGAGCAGGTAACAAGCAGGGCTAGAGGAGAAGAGGCCAGGTGTCCAGCTCCCCCTGTCAACCCCGCCCCTGAAGCCTCTCTCCCCGCCCTGTAGGAGGATGAGGGGGTGCCGCAGCTGCTGACCCTGCAGAACCAGGTGGCGCGGCTGGAAGAGGAGAACCGAGACTTTCTGGCTGCACTGGAGGACGCCATGGAGCAGTACAAGCTGCAGGTGCGGCTCCCAATTCACAGTGCAGGGAAGGCTTCCCGGAGGAGGGTGGAGGGAAGCCAGAGCTGAGTTTCTCAGGGTGGGAGGGGTGTAGGGACAGAAGGCGCACATGAGCGGAAGTGTGGAGGTGATCTTCAGAACAGTGCGGGGGGGCGGGGGTTCAGGACCGCCAGCAGGGCAGCTTTGCTGGGTGTGAGCTTGGACGGGAGAGGGGACTGGAGGGCAGCACGTGGGACCTTGGGGTCTGGGGAACCAGCTCAGCATTGCTCTTGGCGCCCTCTGGTGGCGGCAATTGGAGGTGGTGGGCTGGCGGGGCAGGCTTGTGATGGGGTGAATTTGAGTCTGATATCTTACAGAGTTGTTGGGGTGGCGGGAAGAGGAGAGGAACGAGAGGTGGTCAGGAGTATTTGATCCTCCTCAGTTTTAGCCCAGAGACGGTGTGGGGTGGCCTCAGACTTGTTCCTCAGTTTCCTACACTCCTGCGTGTCAGGGCATTCCTGCCTCCTCTGCACCTGGACCATGTCTTGCAGAGCGACCGGCTGCGTGAGCAGCAGGAGGAGATGGTGGAGCTGCGGCTGCGGTTAGAGCTGGTGCGGCCTGGCTGGGGGGCCCCTGGGCTGCTGCCGGGCCTGCCTTCCGGGTCCTTTCTGCCTCGGCCTCATACAGCTCCCCTGGGGGTCGCCCACAGCCATGTGCTGGGCATGGTGCCCCCTGACTGCCTCTGTGGAGATGAAGTTGGCTCTGAGCACAGGAGAGAGGTGAGGAGAGGGCGAGGCTGGGTGTCTGACGGCCTGCTGGATTGGGCAGGCTCCGGGAGGGGCAAAGGGGTGCTGGGGTGTGCGTCCCCACTCATGCTTTCATGGGACTGGCTGTGAGATGCGGGAGTCTGCTTTCAGGTGTCCTTAGAGGAAGAGCCAAGATTTGAATGACTCTGTGGGGCCTCTCAGAAGGCTCCAGTGCCACGGGGCCTTCCCGGGATAACTGGAGATTGCTTGGAATGGGGAGATTATAGAGGGCGTTCCAGCTTCTGGCGCCAGGTGGAAACCTTGCACACTTCTGCAGACTGAGAGCTCATCACCTCTCAGACCACCTTCTGTCTTTGGATGGCTCTCTTTGCAAGTTCACTTTTCCCCGTGGGGAACCTTGTTTGGACAAAGGTTACTCCTCCTCTGCCTGGAAGTTCTGGGTCCTCTGGACTTTTAGGCCTGGGTCATCTCGGCTCTCAAAGCTGGGGGTTGGCAGAAGTCTCATGTTCACCCATCACTCTGGCGGGGAATTGTTGGTGAGATAGGACTTGGGTGGAGATGATCTGTACACAAGGTAGAAAGGGCAGATTGTCACCTGAGCAGTACTAGGTATCATGGGAGCCAAAGCAGGCGGGAGGGGAGAGGAGGGAAGGAAGCTCTCGCCACAGCTGGAGATTGAAAAGCCTTCTAGAGGTGTATTTGAGCTGGATCATGAAGGTAAGGCAGGACTTGAGGAGGCAGAGACATGAGGAGGGCAGGCAGGGCGGGGTGTGCCGCAGGGAAGACTTGGGATGGAAAATGGCTCACTCCCCTAGCAGGTGACAGATGGCAGGGAGGCTGGAGCTGAGCTGCTGGCTGATGTGAACAGGCTGGGAAGTGGCTCTTCAGCTGCATCAGAGGAGGAGAAGGAGGATTCGCCCAGGCGGACCTTACACCTGCGCAGGTGAGTGAGACCCACTGCCTTCACCTGACAAGGGCCTGCTCAGGGCCAGGGTTGGGCAGGCTGGGGATCCCACCGTCTCCTCTCCTGACAGCAGTGGGGAAATCTCTGAGTCCCAGAGTGCCCTCATGTTGCTCTAGCCAGCCCTTGGGGTAGAGCTGTGGGCTCTGAGCCAGAAGGTCTTACTGGAGTGAGTGTGATACAGGGTGGGCCCAGGCCTCCTGACCTGTCTCCAGGGTGGCCCTCTGTGCCTCCAGCTGCCCTGCACCTCCAAAAACTCTGCCCTTGATCTCCTGATTCTGCCAGACTCACAGCCTCGGATTGTCAACCCTGGGAGATGGAGACCCAGTGGCTTCTCTTCCTCCCTCCAGGCCTGTGGGTGGCTGGGCTGGGGCAGGGGCTGGGGAGGAGCATGGCCTCCTGCTTCCATCCTGCAGAAATGGGATCAGTAACTGCATCCAGAGGGCGGGGCCCCAGCCAGGGAGTCCATCAGACAGGAGGGCCCCAGAGCTCTGCCTTGAAGAGTTGGAGGCAGCCATCCCAGGGTCCAGAGGTAAGCTGGGTGGCGTTCAGAGAGGGCCTCCTCTCCTTCCCCCACCACGGTCCTGGGCCGGCCACCCCGGGACAGTCTGCCCACCATCCCTGGCAGCCCCTGCCCTCCACTCCTCTGTGTCCCCCACTGTCAGTTGGGGCAGCGACCTTCACAGGCTGCCTGTTGCAGCAGTTGGGAGCAAGGCCCGGGTTCAGGCCTGCCAGGTCCCCTCTGCCATGGCCTCGGAGTGGCGGCTGGCCCAGGCCCAGCAGAAGATCCGGGAGCTGGCTATCAACATCCGCATGAAGGAGGAGCTCATTGGCGAGCTGGTCTGCACAGGTGAGGGGTGGGCATCGTTACTTATGCATTGTTGTAGACAGAATTCAACAGTGAGGTGGTTAGGAGTGGGGCCGGATGGCCTGGGTTTGATACTCAGCTCAGCCTCTTCCAGCTGTGTGACCCTGAGCAAGTAGCTTCACCCCTCCGTGGCTCAGTTTTCTCATCTCAAAAATGGGGATAGTCGTTGTACTTAACTGAATAGGGTTGTTACAAAGGTCAGGTAATTCAGGCCCTCGTCAGCAGCCCCATGTCAGGTGAAGGCAGTGAGTCCCACTCAACCTGCACAGGTGTGAGGTCTGCCTGGGTGGCTCCTCCTCTTCCTCCTCTGATGCATCTGAATAGCTTAGAATAGCTCTTGATAAGCTGCACTTCTTTATCAAGTGCCTGCAGTGTTTCAGCCATTGTGCTGGGCAGAGTATCTGTCAGTCCTGGGAGACACAGTGAGTGTCAAGGAGGGCTCAGAGTCCCCAAATTGTGTTGTGTCTATGACTGATAGTATGAGTGAAGGAGGGGGCAGGAGTAATTTTAGGTGGTGGCCAGTTGAGTGTTTTTATTTTAATAGTGGATGAATTTGTTACAAAATTCATCATAAGCATTTTCAATGAGACATAAGAGAGGCAAGTACCATGAGTCCCATCCTCCAGACTTAGTAGTTACCAAGATCTTTCCACATTTGTTTCCCTCTCCCTCTTTTCTTTGCTGAATATTTGGAAGGACACCCCAGACTTCCTGTCTTTTCTTGCCTATACCTCCCAATGTGCTGCTCTAAACATGTGGACATTTTTTTTTTACCTAACCATAATACTGTCAACACACCTAAGGGAACTAACGTCCTCTTATGCCCAGAGCAGAAGCACATTGTCTCCATTATCAGCAGTGTCTGTCTGTAGCTGGATTGCTTGAATCAGGCTCCAAACCTGTTCCACACACACATCATACCGTCGTCACTTAGTATCCGTGTGGGATTGGTTCCAGGACCCTGTGAATGCCCCAATCTGTGGATGCTCGAAAAAGGCGTAGTAAATAGACCCACATCTTCCTTTCAATCACTTTAAATCAGCTCTAGATTTCTTAACAATATTTACTACAGCGTAAAAGCTGTGTAAATAGTTGTTATACGATATTGTTTAGGGAATGATGAGAAGAAAAATCTGTACCTGTTCAATAGAGATGCAGCCATTCATTTAGAAAAATATGATTTCTGCCGTGGTTGGTTGAACCCCTGGATGTGGAACCCACGGATACAGAGGGCCGACGGTGTTTGTTTCTGAGGTCTCACGCCTCCCTTCTCTCATTCATCCTGCGGAAGATCCCAAACCACACATGTTTAGGGTTTGTCTGCTTTTTTGTGGTGTCATTTAACTCATTCTTTTGTCCTCCAGATTTCCTGCAAATGAAAGTTAGTTCTAGAGGCTTAATTATATACAGATTTCAGATTATAGAATGCATTGGGTAAAAATAAAAATAATTAATTTGTAATTTCCTTGGGCCACTGCAGTGGATGAGGGTCATTTAAAAAGTGAGTTGAGGCCGGGTGTGGTGGCTCAAGCCTGTAATCCCAGCACTTTGGGAGGCCAAGGCGGGTGGATCACCCGAGGTCAGGAGTTTGAGACCAGTCCAGCCAACATGGTGAAACCCAGTCTCTACTAAAAATACAAAATTAGCCGGGTGTGGTGGCAGGTGCCTGTAATTACAGCTACTTGGGAGGCTGAGGCTTGAGAATCACTTGAACCTGGGAGGTGGATGTTGCAGTGGGCTGAGATTGCGCTGTTGCACTCAAGCCTGAGCAAAAAGCAAAACTCCATCTCAAAATAAACAGTGAGCTGAAGAAAAATAATAAGCTGTGGTACTGGTGGTACAGAGGTGGGTACTTGGTGAAACCCACGCAGGTGTCCAGGGGCTGGGAAACCTTCCTGGGGGACCAACAGCTGGCTCTCCTGGTGGAGTAGGGCTGCCCGTGCTGATGGCCCCACTTTCTTCCAGGAAAGGCAGCTCAGGCCCTGAACCGCCAGCACAGCCAGCGTATCCGGGAGCTGGAGCAAGAGGCAGAGCGGGTGCGGGCTGAACTGAGTGAAGGCCAGAGGCAGCTGCGGGAGCTGGAGGGCAAGGAGCC